TATCTTTTGATGGCATTTGTTTTGGCCCTTCTTTAGGTAGAAGTATCTAGTACTCTTTTGAAGGGTAAGCATGGGCTGGTCTGGCTGGGCCTGCCGTGAATAATTGTGTTGATGTGAATGATTGCCCACCACGCTTGGTTGTGCATTATGCCCCCTTTGTAAATGTACATGGAAGGTCTGGGTTAACCAGAGTTAGCATGGCCTGGATTATCCTTTATCTTTTCTGACACAGGAAATGAAAAGTGTTCTGTAGATAACACTTTCCCTATCTATGATCTCACTGAGGAGCTGACCGATTTTTGATGGCTCCTTGAATTGGCTTTGCCTCGGCTAAGGCATGTCGAGAGGTGTCTTCAAAGATAAGGATTTGATTATTATGCTCAGCCAATGGTATCGATGGGAGAACCCAATCTAGCCTAGCATGTGTAGTCTATATTGTTGTGTTTTTTTTTTCAAGGAAATTCCAGCACTGATCCATGCTTCAGCCTCTCTCTGAGCAGGCAAGGCAAAAAATCTACAGAATTTTGTATCCATCTGGGGAGTCATTCTTTTTTTTTTTTTTTTTTAAAGATTTTATTTATTTGAGACAGAGAGAATGAGAGAGACAGAGAGCACATGAGAGGGGGGGAGGGTCAGAGGGAGAAGCAGGCTCCCTTGCTGAGCAGGGAGCCCGATGCGGGACTCGATCCCGGGACTCCGGGATCATGACCTGAGCCGAAGGCAGTCGCTTAACCAACTGAGCCACCCAGGCGCCCTGGGGAGTCATTCTGATCATATATTCAAAAGGAGGAAATCAGAAGATGGTATACTGAGCAGGATGATTGAAATAGGGACAGCTTCTAGAAGTTTCTCCTCTCCTCTGGGGAAGTGGAATTACAAGTAATAAGGGGTGACTTTACAACTAAATTATGACTACCTAATTAAAGGGTGGGAAAGAGAGAAGAGATATTCTGTTTAATTAGGAACCAAATGTGTCCTTGAAGCCCTTCCCAAAGGAAGTAGAAATTCAGGATTGTTCTGGTGAACTGTGGGTTTTTGGATGTCCAAAATAAGAGGATCAGCCAGAACTCTCCTTAAAATGAAAGTTTTGAAGGTATGATCCCCAAACCAGCAGCACGAGCAGCACCAGGTCAGAACTGTAAATTCTTGGGCCTTACCCTGCACCTACTTACTGAGTCAGAAACTCCAGGGCTGGGGCCCAGCAATCTGTGCTTTGTCAAGCCCTTCTGGTGATTCTGAGGAATGCTATCTTTTGTTTTTATAACATTAGGGAAGCGGATGTATTGAATCTGAACTTCAAATCCAGTGTTTTTCTTACTTATTGACAGTGCCTTCCCTGAGTTTCCATGTTGAACCTGAAGAAGGTAGTCTTGCAGGGGGAACGTGGATCACAGTCATTTTTGATGGTAGGTTTGGGTCTTACCAAATGTCAGTTTCTTATTTATTGGTGTTAAGAATCCTAAATAATATGAGTCTTTGGCTCTCTTCCTTGGCTAAGGACAGGTGTAAAAGAGGGCCTGAGGGCTGTTGGAGCCACTGACACTGACCTCTGTGTTTCCAGATGCTCACTTGGTGTCACAGAAGTAGAGCACACGACACCATCATATGCCCACGTCCGCTTTCTTATCCCAAGCTGTGGGATGGGACCCTAGAAACCCTAAATGACACGATATGGTAGTGTGTAGATAGTCCTATAGCATTGTGTTGCCCAGAATCTTAGTTATCTTCCTTGCACATGATTCTATATGTGGGAACTTCTAAACCACGGTTTAGCTTAGGGCTGAGAAAGTCCTGGATTTCAGTGGATGGACCTGAAGAGAGGAAAATTCTTCTTATAAACTCATAAATGAGACCATCCATTTACACCGCAGTCATAAATGCGTTTGGAAATGAAGAGTAGTCATTTAATCCTCAGGCAAGCTCAGCTTATCACCTTGCCCCTGTGTGGCCATGTTTTTATATTCTCCTGTGTGGATTACAATAACTCTGCTCAGCCCGAGATTCCCCTCTCCCTTGTGTTTAGGTTGGGAGTCGGAGCTCCTTTATCCCACCAATGGGTCTCAGCTGGAGATATACCTGGTGAATGCGGCTGCGCCTGTCCTGCCGAGCATCCCTTGTGACGTCTCTCCCGTCTTCTTGGATTTGCCGGTGGTCATGTGCAGGACCAGGTACACCTGTCTGGGAAGGAGATCAGACAGGGCGAGTGCTTTGCTTATCTCGGTAGTTTTGGGTGGCAAATTAGAGCAACTCCCTCTATGACTGCAGTTACCAGCTATAGCTTTAAAAATGTTCTGTGTGAATACGCTTCTGAAAAATTCCCTATCAGGGCTCTGGGGCTTAAGGGAGGATGAAAATATAGGGAAGAATTTTGAGAAACTTGAGACATTTATAAGGAGGGGTTGGATTGTGTTTCCAGCTGTGTTTTCTTATTGTTGTTTGCAAGGAGCTCTATCACTATTAAAATTTCAATAAATGGTGCCATTAGCCATCTAAAGAACTCATCTTCTGAATAGGCATAATTGGACTGATTGTGCCTAAACCCCAAACCCGTTAGAAAGGAAATTTGCTTTAGTCCTCAGCGTATTTCCTTTTGGTGTGATTTGTACAGGATTCCAGGTCATCTACTGTTTCACTCAAGTTTTTGTTGTCTTACGAAGTTTCTACGAGTTCATTCTTTCCCTACTCATGTCTTTGAGATGCCGCGTGAAAGTGGATCATTGCTTAAGAGAAACAACAACAACAACAACAACACTGTCATTTCCTTTTGTTTTCTGTTCTCTCCTTCAGGAAGTCTCCCTTTTTTCCATCTCTGCCTACTGAAATCTAACCTGCAAATGTCACCTCTTCCCCAAACGTACAACTGAGTGTAATCTTGCCCTTCTTTGAAAGGGAGGCAGATAGGGGCTGACATCCATGTGGTGGTGGTCACAGCTTTGAGGAAGGAGCACCTTTTGTAATTTACACACAGGCATGGCACGTGTAGCCTCAGTGGCCCCGTTTCCTCAGCCCTGTGTTTCTCATGACACTTAGGTCAGTTGTTCCCTTGCAGATTCATCCTAGAATGAAGTGCCTTGAGGACAAGGGGTGTGTTAATATCACCCTTGTAGTCCTTATGGTACTTAGCACAATACCTTGTGAGTAGATGTGGCTCCATAGACGTCTCTTGAACTGAACTTTCTTACAGCCCTGCTGCTAATTGTTTTAAAACTGGGTTGTACGTCTTCCTTATATTTTATGGTAGGTATGGGCATAGAGTTCCTGCAAGAACTTGCCATGAAATAGATCAAAACTCTGAAGTTTTATATGTTCTATCTCCTCAATCCCAACATGCTAATGATTTTCAGATGCACCACTGATTTTATATAATCTTTTTTAGAGGAAAAGAAACACTATCCTCTTACATGTACTCATTGGTTGGAAGATGAATATCAAGTTCAATTAACCCCCAAATGTGAAAAAATGCACATTTTATCATCAATTAAATACTGTCCTATTCATTATCATAAAGACATATCTGTTTTCACCAGGATTGACATTGTAGCATCTAGATCAGCACTGTCTAATCCAAACCTTCGGTGAGCCACAAATGTAATTTAAAATTTTCTAGTAGCTACATTAAAAAGTCAAATGAAACAAGTGAAATTATTTTAATAATTTTTATTTAACTCAACATATCCAGAATATTATTTCATATGTAATCACTATATAAATTATTAATGATATACTTTATATATTTTTTGCACACCAAGTCTTCAAAGTCCACTGAGATTTTACACTTATAGCATATTGTATTTGTGACTAGCCACATTTCAAGTGCCCAGTAACCACATATGGCTAATGGTTACACACTGAATGGTGCAGATTTAAATACTCAAAGTCATGCTGAAAAGTTTGGTGAGAAACTCTTGGAGGGGAAGCACTTCTTAATTCTAGCTCCTTATTCATCATATTCCCTCTCACAAAAATGAACAGGAATGGCAGCATCAAAGAGGGGAAGAAATCACTGTGATATTTGTGAAAAGAGGAGAGGGGGTCCAGGACTCTCCTGATGGATATATGAAGTGTTTGTGGACTGCTTGAATATTATGAGGTCAAGAATTTTTTTGGCAACATGTGAAATCAATGCCTTTTATCAGAGAGAGCCTAGGATTCAAGCCCTACTTTGCTCTTGACCTGTGGTGTTTGCACACATAAGTTTCTTAATCTATTTGGAACTGTCAAAAAATTTTTTAAAAGATTTTTTATTTATTCATTTGTGAGAGAGAGAGAGAGAGAAAGAGAGAGAGCACAAGCAGGGGGAGCAGCAGGCAGAGGGAGAAGCAGGCTCCCCACTGAGCAAGGAGCCCGATGCGGGACTTGATCCGATCATGATCTGGGCTGAAGGCAGATGCTTAACCGACTGAGCCACCCAGGCATTCCAGGAACCATCAAAAAAAAATTTTTTTTTTTAATGGAAACTAGGATTAGATTATCTATCAATGTCCCTTCCACATCTTGAAGTCCTATGAACCTACAATTCTGAGGAACAAGACAGAATTTTTTTTTTTAATTTTAAGGAGTTTCAGTAAAACAATTATAACATGTTGCTGAAAGATCCAGTCTTTAAAGTCTAGTGGGTGAGTGGATCTAGACGGTGTAAAGTGAAACCTAGGAATCCTTGGTTAGCTCTGTTTCACAGGTGCCGGAGGAAATTTGGAGTGGTCACGTGGGGCTTCTGGCTTTGGTAGTTCACAGTTTTTGGTTCACAAGGATTTCCACTTTCTGCCCTCAGATCTCTGCTGTCTGAAGCACACGAGGGTCTATATTACCTGGAAGTGCACTCTGGGGGACAGGTGGTGGGCAGCCCGAGTCCTGGACCACGAAACAACTGTACATTCAAGGTGGGTTCTAAGGATGGAGGAATGTGTCTTTGCCTCGTCTGAGGATAGGCTTGTGCTATCAAGAAGCAAGTTATAAGTCAGCCGGAGTCTACTTTGCCAGGGTAAGAAGAAACGTGGGTGGTAGTTGTGAGGTGTCTGAGACGATACCAATGAAAGTTAAGTATGGAGCCCTTGTATGTCAGGCTCTGTGCTTTATATACATTAATTTGATGTTCACAACAATTTTAAGGGGCAACTATTTATTATCCTGGTTTTGCAGATGAGTGACTTGAGGCGCAGGGAGATGAAATAATGTGCTCATCTCATCAATAATTTTGCCTGTGTCATCCAGGTACTAAATGGCAGAACTAGGATTTTTTTTAATTAGTTTAATTTTTAATTTTTTATTGACATATGATGTCCTATTAGTTTCAGGTGTATATCATAGTGATTTGATATTTTTATACATTACAAAGTGATCCCCATGAATAAGTCTAGGTTGCCATCTGTCATCACACAGAATTATTACAGTGTTATTAACTATATTCCCTTTCCTGGAGGGAATGTAAATTGGTGCAGCCACTATGGAAAACAGTAAGGAGGTTCCTCAAAAAATTGGAAATAGAAACATGATCCAGCAATTTCACTTCTGGGTATTTATGTGATGAAAACTAAAACACCAATTTGATGAGATATATGCTCCCCTGTGTTTATTATTTATAATAGCCACAATATGGCAGCAGTCCAAGTGTCCATCAGTGGATGAATGGACAAAGAAGAGGGGTTATATATACACAATGGAATGTTACTCAGCTATAAAAAAGAATAAATCTTATCATTTGTGACGACATGGACGGAATGAGAGGGTCTTGTGCTAAGGGAAATAAGTCAGAGAAAGTCCAATACTGTATGATTTCACTTACATGTGGAGTCTAAAAGAACTAAGACTTGAACCTGCACTGGATTCTATTTTTTAAAAATTTTATTTATTTATATGTCACAGAGAGAGAGAGAGAGAGAGCACAAGCAGGGGGAGCTGCTGAGGGAGGGGGAGACGCAGACTCCCTGCTGAGCAAGGAGCTCAATACGGGACTCGATCCCAGGACCCTGGGATCATGACCTGAGCCAAAGGCAGACACTTAACTGACTGAGCCACCCAGGCATCCCCCAGCATTGGATTCTAAATCTTCATCTAAACTTAAGCCCATGAGGAGCTGCAAAGATTATCATTGGTCAGTGTTTCATTTCACAGCTGCAATTCTCCTAAGTCTTAGTAGGGGGAAGGGACTCAGAGACCCAAGTTCTACCTTGCCCTCTGCTTCATGTAATTTCTGCTCCTCTTTCTAATCCTAGATTGAAAGGGCATTTGCTGGTGGCATTCTCTAAGTGCAGAGCTAAACGGAAGCAGAGAGTTTATGAGTTAATGCCTAACTTATGTTGGAGAAGCAGTATGTATACTTGGTCTTAATTCTGTGTTTGGTTCAGCCTATTGTCCATTTCGGGTTAGTTTTCCACTAATCTCTGAAAGGGTAGGCCCTAGACTTTTCATAAAAGGCTGAGTTTTGACAGAGCTCTTTGTCAGGGTTGTCCTTCCCACAGGGTGCCTCCACTGAAGAGTTGTTCATAAAAGTCTTTGTCATTAATTAATGCTCCTTTAGAACAAGACTTCATCCCCTAAATTCATCCCTGTTACGATCTACATTTTATACGGGCAATTCATTGACAAATTTGGAATTTGCTGTCAGTTCACATTTAACAACTTGTTTCTCACTCCCAGAGAGTCTTGTTTTCTGGAATTTTGCTTCTGTACATATGCAGTAGAAAGAAAAAAAAAAAAGATCATTCTTTCTTATTAAGCCCCGCACCCCCACCTCTCCACTGTCTCTGTGAATGTAACAGAAGACGGATGGCCAAGCACCCTCCCTGATCACCGTGCTGTTTTTGGTTTTGATGTTCCTTTCACCCCAGATAGTAGTGTTCCTACTTATTAAAGATTGGAAAGGAGAGCAAGGGGAGAGAGGAGAAGCACTTCCTAAAATTGCACATTAAAGAAAACAAGTCCTTGAGTGCTTTGGCCTAGCTTGGTGAGTTGATGAATAATCACCAGGGGACGCAGTTAATGAGAGGCATTCCAAGCTAAATAAAACACGGTGTGTCTCTTTGTTTTGGGACTGGGACTGGGGGAACCGTGAGTATTAAAAATTAATTCCATCTTGCAGTCCACTTCAAAGAGCCGGCTGCGGGCGCTGACAACTTTGAACAACTCACAGAAGGTTTATCAAGCAGCTGGGGGCTGTGGCTTCACTCTCCTAATCCGCTGCTTTTCCTCTCCCCCTTCTTGCCGCCCCTGACCTCGCTGGCGCTCAGGGATCCGCAGGCGGGAAGCTTGATTTGGAAGCTCATTAATTTTTCACTTTGTCCTGTCTCTAGCTTGCTGGGTGAGCGGGGCCTGTTTTCCTTAGAAATGTACCATTTTCATGTCGCATCAGCTCAGAGGGAATCACAGGGGAGACTCTTTCTGAGGTTGAACTCTGAGCTGCCCCAGCATGCCAAGGAACGGGAAGGAGTGATCAAGGAGTCACTCTACTGCCCCCACGCTTGGGGTGGACGGCTCACAGGCTGAGCGCTAGAGCTGACACTGCAAGCTGGAAATCCAGAGCCATGTTTCCTCATTTGGTTTGGACTCGGTTGTTCCTTTGCCTCAGTTTCTAACGTCTGTGAGAAGGAGCAGTAAGGCCGCTCTGCCTCCTGAGGCTCCTAGGATATACTTCCAACGGAAATGACAATGGTATGAAAGGCGCCCCAGTGGGAGGTGAAGGCCTGGCTGGGTGCGGGAGGAAGCTGGGAGGCCAGGGTAGGGAGTGCAAGTTTGGCAGGTGTGTGTGGAATTGCATTAATCCTTATCTTTTGGTGAGATCAGAGCTGCTCCCAATCGGTGAGGTCACTACAGTCTCACCTTGACCTCCTGACTGTACATACTTCCTGTGACCTGTTCTCTAAACCTCTCCCTTAGAAAGGAGGAAACTGGCCTTGATGGCAGGTTGTACAGCCATGTGGATCAATGCCTAAAACCCACACTTGCCAGGCCACCGCCAGCTTTGTTGAAATGTTGTTGGCTCTCCCCTCTGCTTCGGGCTGTGGATGAACAATGGAGTTATTCTTTGGTGATATTCTCCCTGGGAAGGTGGACTCCTGGAATGCTGGAAGCAGACCAAGCTAAACGATCTGCTGTCATTGGATTTGCAAGTGGGAAGCGTGTAGTTTATGGGGAATGAAGGCAGTCTGGGCATCTAGAGGGGGTTGGGGGTGAGGGCGGCCGGAGGGGGAGACCAGGTCTCTTCCTCAGTGTCATTAGCTCATGGGTCAAACTTTGGCCTGGTCAGTCCATCCTTCTGCTTCTCTTTTCACACTGGCCCTGGCCGTGAAGTGCACTAATCTTGGGTTAACCCAGATGCCTATAGGGGAGATGGAATTCCTGGAGTTGTCTTTTTCTCTCTTTTATTTACAAGCACCACATCAATGATCTCACAGGGGGCCACTCTATTCATTCGCAAAGATTTGAATGTCTTCTCTATCCCAGGCTAGTCACAAGGATATGACCGTGACTGAGTCCGGCATCATCCCTGCCTCTTTGGAGCTTATAATCAACAGAAAATGGGCTTTGTGGGGAGGGGGCATAGAAAGATGATTTGGAGCGCCATGACCAGGCTTTCCCCTCTCCCATCAGTGCTGCTTCCTCCTTCTCAAAGAATAAGTTTCCTTCCCATTCCTTGAATCATTTGCATCATTTTTCTCCCAATAGGCACCGTCCACTTTCCCAACAAACACCTCACTTGTGTGTCTACCCAACTTGCAATTTTTTTAGCTTGCTAATTCCTGTTTACGTGTTGGGTGTTAATAAGTTAAGTTGCAATCCTTTCAATTTAAGTAAGTGAATTATTGTCTAAAAAAATTAAAAAATCCTTCAAGATTCCAAGATACCAAGTTACATAATGGAATTCTCAAGCCTGGCCTACCTACCTTTCTTTCTGGTAAAATGTGTTCCTGGGTATGGCAGGTGGACAGGTAGAAAGAAAGTTGGCCGAAGTTTGGACAATATGGTGCAGGGCAGAGAGCTCTGGGACCTTGATAAAATTCCCTTTACCTCTCAAATGGAAGAACTGTAATAATATCCGTCACCTCTGCTTCACAGATAGATTATGGGGATAAAAAGAAATAGATGTTAGTTGATTTGAGGAAATGTAACCATTTACCACCTTAGACTAATATTCGATGAAGAATGACTTTTGCTTCTTGTTTGTGGTCGTGATATGCTAATGAAATGCTCCCTTGTGATGACCTTTCCTGAACAGTTTTCCAGGGGGCAGACACCCATTGTTTACCAAGTTACACCACCAAGTGGAGCTCCAGGTAAGGAATCTCCTATTAAAACAGGAATAATTATGGATCCCTTTGCCAAAGCTATTGCAAACTCTTCTATCCAGGTGGGTGCTCTCTATAAATAGGAGCATTGAGCTTCTTCTCTGATACTGTTTTAAAAATAAGTGTCAACTTTTGGTTTAATTTTTTAAAAAAATTTTTTTATTGTTATGTTAATCCCCATACGTTACATCATTAGTTTTAGATGTAGTGTTCCATGATTCATTGTTTGTGCATAACACCCAGTGCTCCATGCAGAACGTGCCCTCCTCAATACCCATCACCAGGCTAACCCATAACTTTTGGTTTAATTTTAACTGGGTTTGGTTTCACCTCTGGGCACTTTTGCTCTGTTACTTCACTGATAACAAAAGAATCCAAACAAGAAAAGAGAAAGAGGCCAGTAAAATCAAACCAGGTACTGCCAGAGAATGGAGGAACTAGAAATCATCATTGCTCTTAACTTTATAATCATCCATATCTCATAGCAAACCTTTATGGAGTCTTTCCGTGAGCCAGGCTCTGTTCTAAGCTTTTGGCGTGTATTATCCTGTTAGATCCTCACAAGAACCTGATGACATAGGGACTGTTATTCTCATTTGCAGATGAGCAAATGAGATACTAAAAGGTTAAGCAGCTTGCTTAGAGTCAACTAGTGAGTGTGCAGCTGGGATTTGAACCCAGACAGGCAGAATCCAGAGTGGGCAGGTATATCCAACGTTTTGTTCTGTGTTGAGTGGTGGTGTTTCATACTCTGTGGAAGGCCAGCAACCCTGATACTTATCCTGGGGGCTTGTTTATGAGTTAGAGGACACACACATGCAGAGGCCAGGGGCTAGAAGAGAAGAAGAGAGAGAAAGAAGAGAGAGATTTACATAAAAGAAAGGATTGCAGCTAAGAAATAGATTTAAGAATTGCTAAGCTTGCTTTACAACTAAGTAGTAAACACAGCTAGGATTATATATAATTCGTTGTCTGATTCTTGGCAAATTCCTCTGTCTATTTCAGATTTTTCCTTTGTTTAGGGTTTCCAGATGGTGTAATTATGGGAATACAAGTTGCTAAATGTTTATATGTAGTTGTGTCTAAATGCATAAACTGATAGAGTTTTGAATGGCTTGACGACTAAAGAATGTCAAAATGAGTATCTGAGTTGCTGAAAAGTGTTTGTACTTGTGTGTGTGTATGTGTGTGTGTATAGACACAGATTATGTATGCATGTATTTAAAGATATCCTGAAGAATATGAATCTGGCACGATTTTATTAATGCAGGTTATTCAGAGATCTGTTTCTTTCCATTTGTCTGAATAATCAAGGCATGATCATATTTTATTAAAAAGAGATGTGGTCTGAGAATCACATGCAGACATTTGGGTCCCTGCTTTTTGGTGTTAGAAAGCTCTTGTTTCGATGGCAGAAGTCCACAGGGTGAGGGATGAGTAAGGAGCCTGCCATCAGAGGTGTGAAATGGGATGTTGGCTCACCCAGATCTGTCAGGCCCGTTTCTCCCACCAAGTATGAGTGCTGCACCCTGTCTCCTCCACCTTCTGGGGGAATGACTGGTGGCTGGCCTGGTTGGAGTGGAGTGGTCCCTCCAGGCAGGATCACGCGGCGGCATCTTTGAAATCACTTTCCAGACAATTACTCTCATTTCATTTGGGAAGCCTGCCCAGGGTGGCAGCCAGGGAGATGGGGGAGGTGGTGGGGACAGGAGCGATGACGTTCCATTAGTAGTTGAATTTCTGTCTGTGGTTAACAGCCCTCCACTGTGACACAGAATCGCTTGGCACCGTGGGCAGGCTTAGCCATTTCTCAGCCTCTGTTGGGCTTCTTTGTTTAGGAACAAGACAAAAACTCAGAATTCCCAATTTCTATAACTTGTTACCAATTTTTAAAATTATGCCCATCAGAGCTTGAAATCATGCCCACCAAAGCCAGGAAATCAATAATTTAGCTCTATTAAAATGAAGGGAAATTATTTTGCCAGTTGTTAATAGGAGTGGAGAACTGCAGACTCGAGGCTTTCTTCGTGTCTGTGACCTTTGTCTAAGGCATTAGGTTCCCTCCCTTTCTACCCATTCACTGTACAGTGGCTCTCATATTTCGTGGAAGGTTCCCAGGGTTTCACTGCCAGTCCTCCAATGACTGCATCTGAAAGCATCTCGGATTAATACTACACAAGCATAGTGTGAAGGGAATGACTTCTTGGTAATGTTCTTTTGTGACTTTGAATGTGGCCGTGAAGAGATCCCAAATCCTCTGCATTCAGTGACCTCACGAGCCCCATAGGCGCTCTTTTCTTTTCCATCTTTGAGGTTTTACTTATTAGCCAAAACCTCTCTCATCTCTTAATGTTGTTTGTGATGCTACAAGATTACAGCACAGATGGTTAAATTCTCTAATTATTTGGCAGGCACACATTTCCAGGTCGTGGGGTTGTCTGGTGAACTTTAACTACATCACCTCACTGTGTTGCGTCTGCTTAAAACTTTGCCTCGTGTAGTTCCGCAGAGGGGAGTTTAGGTGTTTTAAACGATGGAACAAAGCAGCTCATGTGGCATCTGGGAGGGGCCCCCAAACTCTTTTTGAGAAAGAGTTGCATCAGATTCCTTTCTCACGTCTTGTGAGCAGAGCGGGTAGGGGCAGGACCGAGAGTTGCTGAGAGGGGATAGCTGATGCCCGCACTTCCTCTTGAACTTGAACCGAAAGAGGGGAGTATTAAGGAAATGCTTGCTACCCAGTGGAAATCCCTGTGAGTCACATAGAGGAGCTCAGCAGTAGAAGTCATCCGTTTGTCAGGGGGCAAGGCAGACACCGACTGTCTGCAGATCCCCAATTTGCCCTATCTTTGAACACAAACATATTGGTTCAATGAATGGGATGTGCCATTGCCCATCCTTTAAGCCATAACTCTGTTCTATTTCACCTCATCCCCTCCTTTCTTAGTTCCCATCCATTTGGGTCATCCTTGACATTTATCTTTTGTACTCTGAGATATGGAAAAAAGTTTAATATCCTGAATACCCATCCACGTCTTGGGATAGGCACCTCCTGGGTTGTCCATATTAGCAAGTGTCCAGAGGAAAGTCTCATGAAATGTGGAGCACCCCAAGGCACACGGTCCTTAAATCCCACGTTAGGTGGATGGTCTACACACAGCCAAGAGGATAGAACAAGGCAGCGTGTGGAAACCGGCCCCTTCCTCCTGAAAGCCTCATGGGACTGTGAGGAAGACCTGTTATTACTTCTGTGCTCCATACATAGATGATTAAGCCTGTGATTGCAATAATTGGTTATTTTAGCCTTTCCAATGTGTAGTATTGATCACCGGATCATACTTGGGGCTCCTTTCCTGTTGTACAGTTTGTGAAAAAGCATTAATATTCTGACTCATGACCAGTTTGGCCATATTAAATAGATGAAACCAAAAAGAAATAGTTTATAATTTATAGTTGGAGCTAAGTCTATTAAATTTTTAAAAAATCTTCTTAAAACAGGAAAACTAATACATGTGTATGGCTGGATTATCACTGGAAGATCAGAAACCTTTGATTTTGATGCTGAGTACATTGATAGGTAAGTGTGTGTTTCGGTGTTCAACTAGTTACAAATATGCTGGGTTGCTTCCTGAGACCAGCTTCCCCGATAGCAATAAATTGTAAGCAGTTGGTACAGAACTGCTGTTTTCCACTTTGCAGTTTATGGTCCCTGGTGAGCTGGGCTTCAGCAAACTTTGTTAATGTAATTGCAACTGGTCGATTAAGTTGGTCCATTTATTTACTGACAACTAGTCACTCTGGGCTCAGCGTGAATCGTGCTGTAATTGCATCTGTGGGTTTTCTTTTTCGATTCTTACCCTTCTCCACCTTGTTTCTCAGGCTGAAGTAAATTTTTTATAAAATGATGTGTGAACCCAAAAGACCATTATAACTTCCCTGTTTGGTTGGTATGCGTTTGTGCATTTAGAAATTATGTTAGTGTGATGGGAGGAAGATGCAGGAGAAGGCACTGAGAGCCGCTGAGTTTTATTGTTTTGTGGGAATGATTGGGATTGCCAACATGACTTTCTTCACCAGAGACTCTTGAAACAGAAAGTGTTACTATTAAATCATGTGTGCTAGGGAAAGAGGAGAACCAGAGGGAAAGTGGTGAAGTTGTAGTCTTTGGCGGAAGCCCTAAGCACCTGATTATGCAACATCTGAAGTAGTTACTGTGAGGATTGATGAGGTAGAGGGAATCTAGTCTTACTATAGCTGAGCAGATTCTATATACTGTGTCTAATTTTCCTCATACTTCTAGAGAGGATGGGGTATCCTCCTCTGTTCTGTTCCCTCTTTGTGATTCTGCCCTAGTTGAAGAGGACATGATCTGGCTACTCTAAGGATCTACATCTCTGGCATTAAGTCATGGTCAACTTGTCTTGAAAGGAAATGACTCTTTCTGTGGAGGCTAGAAGCCCCAAGTGCATCCTTAATAATATGTCACATTCACTGCTTGGTACCATGTCAGCCTGGGTCTGGGATACAGCATTTGAAAGGGGGAACAAAGGCATAAACTCCACAGTGGTTCTGTGTAGACCCAATAGAGCCAATGTGGACATGATGAAGATTTGGGGGAAAAGGGAAATGCTCCTTCTGCTGTGTGAAAATGTGGACCATGAAATAGTGCTACGCGCTCCTACCTGCAGGCTGAGAATTGATTCAACATCTCCTCAGGGGACAGGCTTTGGCCACCTGCAGAATGCCCCATAAATCCAGAGGAGAATGCTCAGAGCAATGTTTCCTGTGAGTTTTGCCAGGAATGTTTACTGGGAGCCTTACGCTATTGTCTTATGTCTTCCCCCCCCATTTTTTATCCAGCCCATTGATCTTGGAAGCTCAAGGAGACAAATGGGTCACAGCCTGCTCTCTTGTAAACAGGCAGACAGGAAGCCGGTGAGTGTCTTTCCTGTCTACATACATGCTTTTAGGTTCTTCCATGTGGGTTTCTCTCTCTCTCTCTATCTCTCTCTCTCTCTCTCACACACACACACACAATCTGTTTTTTAATATAGATCACCCATAACTGCTGACTGCCTTATTTTTAGACTTACTGGAAAATACATGGTAATTGATTCAAAATGCAAATTGAAGTGGATTCTGAAAACTTTCTTGAAAACAAATAGCTAATACTAAGTGCTCATTCTAGGCCAGGCCCTGCTCTAACACTTTTACATTTAAGTTACCCAATATCCTTGTGAGGACAAATGGTTATTAGTTTCACTTTATAGATGAGGAAATTGAGGCACGGATGGGTCCAGTAACTTGCCCAAGGTCTTGAAAAGAGAAAGTGGTAGAGCTGGAATGAGTATCTGGGCTGACTAGCCAGGTTCCAAGTTCATGCTCTTAACCACTCCACTATAATGACCAGCCAAAGGGAGGAAAAAAAAAGCAACTAAAACAACTAAAATTTGTTTATGTATTACAATGAATTTTTAAAATGAGTGTCTACATGCTTACAGTTTAGCTAACCAACATTTTGCTGGATTTTCACTTCACTCAGGATTAGTAGATTTAACCTTCTCTTGAGGCCATCACAAGAATTATACTCTATAGCTTAGTTTTATAGGACTGGCATGTTGTAGAGCCAGACTCCATAATGTAGTTTCTTCCTGGTGTCTTCAGTTTGTTTGCTCAGGATCCTTCTTTTGTGGGTTGACAAATTTTTTCCCAAAATTTTTATTTAAATTCTAGTTAGTTAACATAGAGCGTAATACTGGTTTTGGGAGGAGAATTTCATGATTCATCACTTACCTATAACACCCAGTACTCAACACAAGTGCCCTCCTTAAAACTCATCACCCGTTTAGCCCATTCTCCACGCACCTCCCTGCATCAACCCTCAGTTTGTTCTATAGTTAAGAGTCTCTTATGGCTTGCTTCCTTCTCTTTTTTTCCCCTTCCCCTATGTTCAGCTGTTTGTTTCTTAAATTCCACATACGAGTGAGATCATATGGTATTTGTCTTTCTCTGACTGACTTATTTCACTTAGCATAATACTCTCCAGTTCCATCCACATTGTTGCAAATGGCAAGATTTCATTCTTTTTTATGGCTGAATAATATTCCATTGTATATGTATTCCATATATATGTGTGTCTATACACACACACACACACACACACACACACATCTTTATTCATTCATCAATCAATGGACATTTGGGCTCTTTCCATAGTTCGGCTATTGTTGATAATGCTGCTATAAACACTGGGGTGCAGGTGCCCCTTTGAATCACTATTTTTGTATCCTTTGGTAAATCCCTAGTAGTGAAATTACTGGATCATAGGGTAGCTCTATTTTCAACTTTTTGAGGAACCTCCATACTGTTTTCCAGAGTGGCTGCACCAGTTTGCATTCCCACCAACAGTGTAAGAGGGTTCTCCTTTTTCTGCTTCCTCACCAACATCTGTTGTTTCCTGTGTTGTTAATTTTAACCATTCTGACAGGTGTGAGGTGGTATCTCATCGTGGTTTTGATTTGTATTTCCCTGATGATATGTGATGTTAAACATCTTTTCATGTGTCTCTTGGCCATCTGGATGTCTTCTTTGGAAAAATGTCTATTCATGTCTTCTGCCCATTTCTTAACTGGGTTATTTGTTTTTTTGGATGTTGAGTTTGATAACTTCTTTATAGATTTTGGATACTAACCCTTTATCAGATATGCCATTTATAAATATCTTATTCTAGTTCGTAGGGGGGTTCACACTTAGTAGGTTTTTTTTTCCTTGATAAGAGTTTGCTGTCCTTGTTGTAAAGGTTTTGGAAAGAATGGAAAGGTCTGAAAAGAGGTTAAGAGCAAGTTAAATTTTGTCTCTCACACTGTGTTTGGCTGATAGCATATGCACTGATGAGAACTCTAGTTAGTACTATTCTACATAATTGCTCCAATGAGTTCATTATGCCTTCAGTATCTGCCAATTTTCACTGACTAATTGACCTTTTATTTTATTTGTTTTTACTTTCCTGGCTAAAGAGTCAGAACTTCTGAACTGAGTTGTCTGGTAATTCTCACCTCAGGTTTTGGTTCTTGCTCTAGTTATCCTCTTCAGGAAGACCACGGTCTTGGAACTCTGCAGTGCCGTGTGGAAGGCAACTACATCGGTCTGTTCAAGAAGTAACATAAGTTGAACGCCTTATCTGTTTCTTTTTCTGTATCAGAAAAATACTGTTCAAGAATTGGTTCTCACAAGGATGAGAATAGTAACTACCATGTATTGAGAACTGCTTAAAAAGCTACATGAAATGGCTTAAATAGAAACTAATTTAATCATCACAGTGAGTGGATTGGTGAGGTTGGTGGAATTATTTTCACTTAATAGGTGAGAAAATTGCAGCTAGTAACCAGTGCAGCTGGTTATGGCCTCATCATGTTTAGTGTAACTGTAAGCCTGGGCTCTTATCTGCTGTGTGTTACCGCATTTATCCTTTTATTGATGGAAGTCAACAGTAATGGTGCTGAGTCTCAGAGGTGTTTATTTTGGGCACTGTTAAAGAAATTACAGGTTTGGGTGGTAACTTGGTGATATCTGGAGTCCTAGGGTTTATGGTAGCAATGGCCTGGTCCCGGTGATACAGGCAGACTCCTGTGTTAATGTCTGTTTTCTTTTTGTTACAGGCTCCCAGAATGTTAGTTTCTCAGTATTTAACAAAGGAAAGTAAGTAACTGGAAGCAAGCAAATTTATCGTCACCTTATATTATTGATCTCCTTCTTGTCTTTCTTATATTTTTGAATCTTTTATAATGGAAAATTCCAGACATACAGGGACAGAATAGCATAATGAACCCCCCTGCACCTACTTGATTTCTTTTACTTAGGTGAATAAAATTGTGTCCTACACACTCATCTTGAGGTAATGTAAATGTTTCAATGTGATGGTGGCACAAAATTGTGGGAATTAGGTCTTAAGTAATCTCATAATGCTGTCAATTTAAAACAGTACATTGTTCCAGGAAATGCATTGTGCCATTCCAGGAAATGCCTTCTTCAAGATGGAAAGGATCCAAATTTCAGAGTTTTGGAGAGTGGATTATGATTCTGAATGGTTTCTGCATGCCTTACCTAATGTTCTGACACCATATAATTTGTCAGGGGTTTTCCTTACAAGCATACTCTCTAGCTGACATTCATCCCTTTGTGGTGATAGTGACATGTCACCTAAAGCTCACAGCCCCACGTATGGAGGGTCTCTCTCTCTTTCTTTCCAATTTAGGAAGGAATAACACCAAAATCCTTGGAGTATCTACTATAGGCCAGCTCCTTACCAGGCCCTTTCATGTTCATCTTTCCCTAACACTTGTTACGCTCTGTGAAGTAGCTATTATTATCAAAAACTTTCTAAATCACAAAACACATGTTGCCCCATTGGTATCGTTCTCTACTCATCAAAGGTATCCAAACTGTTCTAAAGATCAGGGGAAGTTGGCTCCCAATCCTCGTTTTAGGCAGCTGATTTAAGAAATGCAATCTTAAATGCTTTTTTCATCTAAAACAAAACTTTGTCTTGGAAGGTCCATGGTACACAAGAATGCATGGCTGGTCAGTGCTAAACTGGACCTTTTCCTGTACCAGACATACTCAGGTACTATTGTCCTTGTCCCTGAACTCCTCGCTCCTTCCCTCACACCTCACTCAATGTTGGATCCTCCTTCCCGTTCTCCTGGTACCATTTCTCTATAACCATGAGCACCTGAAGCCGTCCCCGCCATAATGATGGGTGACCCTTGGGTTTTGAGAAGAAGTTGCTTATGTGAGTGTCAGCTTTCATTACTGTATTTTTTTTTTTTTTAAGATTTTATTTATTTATTTGACAGAGAGAGACATAGCGAGAGAGGGAACACAAGCAGGGGGAG